TATTGTTCCCCTAAAAAGCACTTAAAAAAAAAAAAGAAAAATACAAGGAAACTAACTGGCAGATTTCTCTTTCTCTCACCACACACACATACACACACACTGTTTCTCCAAGGTAAATTTTGAGGTCAGGAGTCATTTAGACAAACCAAAATATCCTCATCATTTACGATGTTAATAATGTTTCACTAATAAGTATTATTTACTTCACATATAATGGAGGGCTTGAGGACAGATGGCATTTATAGAAAGGTTGCAAAATCCAGGCATCTAGGAGAGGTCCTTTGTTGGATGTAATCAGGACTGGAGTGGGTCAGTTAATTGAGAAAGCACAACTAATGTGGGAAATTATAAAAAAAAAAAACCTAGACATCTTAAACACTTAAAAGATGTCCATATATTATCACTTGCTTATCTTTTAATATAAGACAGACTTTTCTTTGTATATATTCACTACTTGCAGTTCTTTTTCCCCCCTCATAAACACTATTGTCTATTTCCAGAACATTTCATCAGCTGGCAAAGAAGCTCTGGGCCCATTAGCAATCACCCCCCATTCCCTCCGTCCACCAGCCTCTTGTAGGCACTAATCTACTTTCTGTATCTGTGGATTTACCTATTCTGGATGTTTAATATAAATGGAACTAGAGGCCCGGTGCATGAAATTTGTGCACTGGTGGGGGCTGGGGGTCCCTCAGCCTGGCCTGGGCCCTCTCGCAGTCTTGGAGTCCTCAGGGGATGTCTGACTGACAGCTTAGGCAGTGGGCCTAAGCTGTCAGCCAGACATCCTTAGCTCACTGGGGAGGTGGGTGAGGCTCCCGCCACATCCTCTGCCCTCACCAGCTGTGAGCCCAGCTCAGGGCTTCTGGCTGAGCGGCACTCCCCCTGTGGGAGTATACTGACCACCAGGGGGCAGCTCCTGCATTGCGCGTCTGCCCCCTGGTGGTCAGTGCGCATCATAGGGACCCGTTGTTCCGCTGTTTGGTCGATTTGCATATTAGCCTTTTATTATATAGGATTATATAACCTGTGACTTAAAAAATGTTTATTCCCATTCACCACCACCCTTGACAAACATCAGCTTGTTCTCTATATCAGCGGATCTGTATCTGTTTTGTTTTATTCATTTATTTTGTTTTTCTAGTTTCCACTTATACTAGTAAGTGAGATCATATGGTATTTGTCCTTCTCTGTCTCACTTATTTAACTTAGCATAATGACCTCAAGGTCCATACATGTTGTCACAAATAGCAAGATTTCAATCTTTTTTATGGCTGAGTAATATCCTGTTGTGTGTATACCACATCTTATCTTTTATCCATTCACTTATTTCAACCTTATGAGTAATGCATCATCTAGGATGATCACCTTAGGTTCTTATAAATTAAGCAATCTACTTTCAGTATCTGTTTAAACTTTTGATTCTTTTCTTCACAATCAACTACAGGTTTTGCTCCAAATCTAATTTAATGGCAATTTTTGTTTTTAAGCAACTCACCTATATCAAGTCATCCAAAGCTTTCAGCTTCATATTTACATTAACATTTGCTTGTTTTACATAATATTTAATTTATATGTATTTATAATAATAGCCACAATGTCAAAATGGGATTGAAAAACTAACTCAAGAGTATATAAAGTTCTACTAGTGGGAGTGAAAGGGGGCAGGTGCCCCAAGAGCACTTAACCTTACTAGGTGTGACCACACAGGTGGTGGGGAGCAGTATTTAGCAAGCCGGTTAATTGGAAGGTGATTAAAGAAGTTCCTACTATAGCCCTGGCCAGTGTTTCTCAGTTGTTGGAGCATCGACCCTTGCACCAAAGGGTAGCAGGTTTGATTACTGGTCAAGGGCACATACCTGGGTTGTAGGTTTGATCCCTGGCCTCAGTCCAGGCGGTGCAGGAGGCAACTCATAGTCTCTCTCTCTCTCTCTCTCTCTCTCTCTCTCTCTCTCTCTCTCTCTCTCTCTCCTTACCTTCCTCACTTCACTCTCTCTAAAAAAAAATCAATGGGAAAAAACATCCGCAGGTGAGATTAACAACAACAAGTTTCTACTGTATGTCAATTTTTGTTGCTATTAGTATTTACACAGAAGAAATATTAGGTAGTCCACATCTTCCTCAACAACTAGAGAAAAGGTTGTTTTTGGAAGACCAGTTTAACTCAATGCACAAACCACAAATTAGCAAATTATTCTACATTAACTTTCATATAATTTTCATTCGTATAAACACATTTTTAAAGGTTCTAACAACTTGTTACTGGAAATGCAAGTGTCCTTTAAATTCCTATGAAGGTTTAAGACAGCATTACTGTCCCCCATGTAATTAATTAATATTTTCCTTGTTGGCATGCAGTTGCTAATGATTACATGTTATCTTTCATCAGTTGTCACCTCTTGAAGCTCTGACCTTTAAACTCGCTCTCATTCTTTTCACATGCCTTGGCATCTTCTCCCTCAATTCTTAAATCCCTTTCTCACAGCGAAAATGCTTCAGAGCTTTAGTATCTCTCTAGTTGTCTCACTGATGCTTCGCATAGTGTCACGGTGACCACGGCTTGATTCTCCTTTCCAATATCCTTGGAAAACAATGTTCAGTTTCTTTTTACAAACCTCAACCAGGTTTCCAACAATGCTTTAAATATTTTCATAACTACTTACCCAACTCATACGTTTTGTCGAGCTCATAGTGCAGTTTCAGGGGGTTCTGTTGAATTGACACCTTACATATTTTATGTCGTAATCTTTATATTTATCCTTGGATTTGGTGACCTTCACTTTCAGATTTCTACTGAGAGGAGCTTTGTCTAATTTTGGAGATGCTCCCCAAAGCTAACAAGGACAGTGCCAGTTCCTTTGTCTGGTGCTGCCAACACTCCAGGAACTGTTCTTTCATCGATTTGTATTTGTACTTGATTTTGTGCTGTGATTATTTTTAAGCTTGTTACAGATTGCTGGCAGGGAAACCAAGCGATCAATAGTCTTTGTTTATTGTATCTGTATATCCGTATGCAAATTATACAGATGCCCTTAACTCCAAGTGGTAAAGGTCAGGCTGTCTCTAGTGACTTGCCTAGCAATGGATGTTTGGAATCCAAACTTGCAGTTTCTAATTTCCTTAATATTAAAGCCCACTTAAAATCAATGACTTTTGGCTTTCAACAGTAAAATAGGCTGCATTTTCAGTTCATTTTATGTAAATATTCTAACATTTAAGAATGATACTGCACATCTTAATATTCACTTTTGAGATGGATGGTAAACTTATCCAGACTAATTAAAACACTAATTAAAATTTAAATATCTACTATTCTTGCTAAGGTCAGCAGCATAGTAGAAGGCAGTTATTTCTATTAAATGCTCTGTAAGTACATTTGGAGGGCTTATGTTGACTCAAAGATTGTATGTTCTATCTTGACTGACCATCCTGGGACGAACTTTATATCAAGCGGACTTGCTCAGGCAATTTCTCTGCCTCCTCAACCTCTGGGAGGAAAGTATAAATACATGTCCTTGAAAGTGAGAGAAGGATGAAGTATTTTTTCATTATGAAAGCCCGGGAACAAGGTATGTTTTCTAGCTACATATAGCAGCCATTTTCAACCAGTGTGCTGCAGGAGGCACAGTGGGGTGCCACAAAAATTTCTATAACATTTCTAAACTATTTAGCCAGGGGCACTAATCTCTTTTCCTTTAGATTGTCAAATAAAAAAAATAATGACAACAGCTAACACAACGCTGTCCGGTGTGAATGAATCTAAATTATATCTTTTTTTTTCAGATCTGCAAAAAATATATATCTTTTGGTGTGCCGCAGAATTTTAGTGATTCGTTTATGTGTGCCATGAGATGAAAAAGGTTGAAAATCACTGACACAGAGGATGGTTTATACTATCAGGTAGAGGTAAGGCATGATGTCTATATATACCGATAAACACGCACAAGCATTTAGATTACAAGAGATGCTAACAGAATAAAGAGGCAAGCTCCTGGCACCGCTCACCTATTGCTATGCCTGCAAGAGTGCAGGGAGCAGATTAAAAAACACAAGCGCTGATGAAAAAACCCTGCAGATCTCTCTTAAAATGACTTTTATTTCCCTATGTTCCTTTAGTTCAGCCATACATTGGCGTTCAAGGGGAGATTAAATGTTCACAGGGCAGTCAGTAGCCTTCCTTGCGTGGAAGGCAGCTTCCCATACCCAGCAGCGATTTGCAAGCCCACACCCTGCGCCCTCCCAAAGAAAGGAGTCAGCCGGTCCAACACCTCGGGGAGCAGAAGCACGTAGCCAGCCGGCCCGCCCCGCCCCCAGCTCGCCCCGCCCCTTACTCTCGCCCCGCCCCTTGGCGTAACCCGGATACACACCCACGCTACCCTTTCACCTCCCGGCAGTTGGCGAACGTGGATGTGAGACCCGGCTGCACCGTCCTGGCGAGTGGGGCACGCGGGCCGGCCAAGGTGCGCCCGGCGGCGCGGCTCAGCCTTTCCCGGGAAGGAGCGATGGGGCGCGCGGGCGCCGGGGAGCGGGCGCCGGTGTAGAGCGCGCGGGGCCCGGCCCGGGAGGGAGCGCGGCGGCTGCGCGGGGAGGCCCGTGAAGGCCGGCGCCATGGCCCCCATGGGCATCCGCCTGTCCCCCCTGGGGGTGGCCGTGTTCTGCTTGCTGGGGCTCGGCGTGCTCTACCACCTCTACTCGGGCTTCCTGGCCGGCCGCTTCAGCCTCTTCGGCCTGGGCGGCGAGCCCGCGGGCGGCCCGGCGGGGCCCGTGGCCGCGGCCGACGGCGGCACCGTGGACCTGCGCGAGATGCTGGCCGTGTCGGTGCTGGCCGCCGTCCGCGGGGGCGACGAGGTGCGGCGCGTTCGCGAAAGCAACGTCCTGCACGAGAAGTCCAAGGGGAAGACGCGCGAGGGGGCCGACGACAAGATGACCAGCGGGGACGTGCTGTCCAACCGCAAGATGTTCTACCTGCTCAAGACCGCCTTCCCCAACGTGCAGGTGGGTGGGTGCCGCGAGCGCCGGGCGCGGGGGGCCGGGAGCGTGGGAGCCCGGGAGCCCGGGAACGGGCCCCAGCACGTAGGCTCCTGCCCAACAGCCCCAGATCGGGGGCTCTCGCTCCCATTGCACAGATGGGGATGGAGATGGACACCCTGGACTGGAGGTGCTCAAGGTCACACCGTTCCTGGGAGAGCTGGGGGATGGCAGGCCGTCTAAGGGCCCAGGCCCCCTGGCCCCTTCCCGAGTGCGTGTGTGTGTGCGTGGCCGGCATCGTGCCTGGGATCCGGAGCTTTCACATCAAAGGGCTGAGCTTCCCTTCACGGCCTGCCTCGGGCTCCTCTGTGAAATGAAAGGGCTTGCACTAGAACCCCCAGTGAAATGAAAGGGCTTGCACCAGAAGCCCCAAGGTCCTCCAGCCACCCCTGATTTCATTGCTGGAAAGATGGTGACTGGATTAAGACACGTTTTCTGGCCGACCTACCAGGAACCAACGGAAGGTCAGCAACCGTGGAGGAGGTGCCATGGCGCGGCCCCAGTGGAATGGCTACTTGGTTGTAGTGTCATCAGGACCCTCTGAATGGCACATATTCTGAGGGCCCTTCAGGGAACTTTTGGGCAGTATATTTATTTCTCAGCAACTTCATTTCAGCTGTCTATTCCCTTATTTACGCCAGAAAATAAGAATTGAAGAGCATTTGCTTTTTTCTTTGGGTCGATTCCTGGTAAGGAATCTTTCTGGGAAGGCATTGCTGTATTAGGGAAATTCAGACGTTTTTGGCTACTGGGAAGAAAAATTGTTTCTGGTGGAATGTAGTTAATTAGATCAACAATGAAATCTAACCCGGCGCTTCTTTGGGAGAGTTAGGAGAGTGTTGTCATTGTAGAATTACATAGCATGTGTGACCCTTGCTCTGGTCTGTCTTATTATTTCTGTGGTTTTCTTTTTTCCTCTTTCTGTCTTCTTACCTTTTCTTAATTTTTTTTTTTTTGCAGCAAGTAACATTGGCTTTCATCATGAGTTGCAGATGTAATTCACACAAGAATTCTCAAACACAATGCACAACATTTTCAATTTTTCTTTGGCCCTACCCTGCTTTATCACAGTTTATACTTGCCTGTGTTTGCATCTCTCTGGTTCCCTAGAGTTGGTAGAAGAAACAGGAGTTTCAGAGAAGTTGACATAGTTGTAACAGTAGCAATAGTAACAATTTATTGAGTATATTCTAGGTGCCCAGATACTGGCCACACAGGACTTCATTTGATCCTCACAGCGACTTCAGAAGTAAATTTCATTTATGCCCACTTTACAGATGGGAAATCTGAAGCTCATGGCACTTTACTGCACAGTTTATATCATCAATCTAACTTCATTTTAGCTAGATCTTTAGGAGGCTACTTGAAACAACTTATAGTGTGGTTTCCTAGAGAAACAAAATTGTACAAGCTTAAAAGCAATAATAGTGGAATATGGTAAGCAGAGTTGAACTTTTTTAAGGTAAAGATAAAAATATTCTTAAATATTGAAAACATAAATCAGTTTGTGCATGTGTGTTCACATGCCAACTCCACCCCACTCCACTTCTGCCAAAGCTTTTGTCTTGGGTAACTTCCACAGGATTCTGAGTTTGCTTTCTCACTTATTAGCAAACACTAACAGCTGCCAAGGGTAGAGAGCTGCCTTTTATTAAACACTGAAGCTAAACTTTCGGAATTGTAGATGTTGAAGTCTCCTTGTCTTCTTGGGATTGTTTGAATGTTTGCATATAGTCTTTAGTGTTCATTTTGGGTGGTGATTGGTGGAATAGAGGAGGTTATGTTCATTTCCCGTGGTTCTCAATCTTCTGGCCCTTTAAATACAGTTCCTCATGTTGTGACCCAACCATAAAATTATTTTCATTGCTACTTCATAACTGTAATGTTGCTTCTGTTATGAATCGTAATGTAAATATCTGATATGACCCCTGTGAAAGGGTCGTTCGACCGCCAAAGGGGCCGTGACCCACAGGTTGAGAACCGCTGATTATACAATGCCAAAATAGGATAGTGTCATGTTGAGCTATCTCCTTTTGTCGCTGTGTTGTTAGACTAGAGGCCAAATGTTGTAGCCATCTAAGTAGGGACTCAGCCATGGATTCTTTTCTTTCTTCACTCCCTTCCCCCAACATGCAGAAGTACAGTCTTAAATGCCTGGTTGTTTTTGAAGCCTCACCTGCAATATTTTGATAAGGAACTTAAATCAAATCCCACTCAGTTTATTTTCTTATGGAAAATCAGCATCAAGAAGCCCGTGCAAATGGAAAGAGGTCTCTTTTCTCCCACGACTTTCCTAGAGTAAGATGCTTGAGCTTTCCAATATATTTTAAACATCTATGCTTTGTTCTCATACCTTTTCTAAAATTACTTTATTTTTATTGATTTTGGAAAGGGAGAGAGAGATAGAAACATCAATGATGAGAGAGAATCACTGATTGGCTGACTTCTGCACACCCCTCCACTGGGGATTGAGCCCACAACCTTGGCATGTGCCCTGGACCAGAATCAAATCTGGGACCCTTCAGTCCACCGGCCAACGGCTCTAGTCACTGAGCCAAACTGGCTAGGGTGAGCTTTCCTAATAAAGTTCACCCCTCAGAAAAAACAATATAGCATGTCACTCTGGAGCAAGCATGTCAAACTCACAGCCCGTGGGCCGCATGCCTTGTTTATTTGGCCCATGTTAGCCTTTTGAGTTTGACATGCTTGCTCTAGAGCAGGGGTCCTCAAACTTTTTAAACAGGGGGCCAGTTCACTGTCCCTCAGACCGTTGGAGGGCCGGACTATAGTTTAAAAAAAAACTATGAACAAATTCCTATGCACACTGCACATATCTTATTTTGAAGTAAAAAACCAAAACGGGAACAAATACAATATTTGTGTTTGTATGTGGCCTGCGGGCCGTAGTTTGAGGACCCCTGCTCTAGAGCAACGATTTTCAACCTTTTTCATCTCATGACACACGTAAACTAATTACTAAAATTATGCAGCACACCAAAATGTATATTTTTTGCAGATCTAACAAAAAAATAGGTAAAATTTTGATTCATTCACACTGGACAACTATCGTTGTGCTGGCTGTTGTCTTTTTTTATTTGACAGCCTAAGGTAGTGGTCGGCAAACTGTGGCTCACGAGCCACATGCGGCTCTTTGGCCCCTTGAGTGTGGCCACGAAGTTTCAATCGTATTGTACGTGTGCGCCCGCACGTGGTATTTTGTGGAAGAGCCACACTCAAGGGGCCGCAGTTTGCCGATCACTGGCCTAAGAGAAAGGGAAAAGAAGTCAGTGCCCCTGACTAAAGAGGTATTTCATGTTTTAAAAATTCTTGTGGCACACCAGTGTGCCTCCTGCAGCACACCAGCTGAAAATCGTTGCTCTGGAGCACTAAACCGGGGACAATTTTGCCTCTGGGGGACATTTGGCAGTGCCTGGAGATTTTTGGTTCTCACAACTGGGGGTAGAATGCTATTGACATCCTGTAGGTAAAGGGTAAACAACCCACACTGCATAGAAAAGACCCCCATAACAAGGAATTACCTGGCCTAATTTTTCAACTTGTGCCCACATTGAGAAGCCCTACTCAAGTTTGTCCTAAGAAAACTAAAGTTTGGCCTAGGATACCTGGATTTCCTTTTATATTTAACTTTTTTCATGTTAGTGATCTTTGTTGAGCTCTCAGGGCAGCAGTTCTTAAACACATTGGCAGTGCTTGGTTTCACTGTGAAAATAATAAATGCAGCATTGGTATGACACAGCGTCTTGTGTATAATGATGAAAATGAAGGCTGAAGATTGCTGGAGTGGATTTGCAGAGAAACAGAACAGACAAATTTAGATTTATCTTTATGATTTAAAGTAAAGGGAATTCTTTTAAAAAAATATATTTTGTATTGATTTCATAAAGGAAGGGAGATGGAGAAAGAGAGATAAATAGAAACATCAATGATGGGAGAGAATCATTGATCGGCTGCCTCCCTCATGCCCCACACTGGGGATCGAGCGCTCAACCTGGGTATGTGCCCTATCTGGGAATTGAACCGTGACCTTCTGGTTCCTTGGTCGACACTCAGCCACTGAGCCACTCTGGCTGAGCTAAAGGGAATTCTTTATTTGAGGGGCTCCTGTCCTCATCTCGACTTGTTCAGAGTTTTGACAATGATTTAAGATAAAGCATGATATTCCAAGCTGGTAGGAGCAGCTTGTGTCCATGTCTTCCTGACCTCTAGAATAGTAGTTTAATTCTTTCAACAGGAGTACCCACTAGAAAAGTTGAGAAGTTCTAGTATAGTGCAAAGAACACATCTTGTCCAGTCTCCAGCCTAGGCCAATTATTAAACTTGTGTTACAGTTTCCTCACTTTTTTGAGGTAACTAGTAATCTATACTAATAGAAGGGTAATATGCTAATTAGGGCGGACATCTTCCAGACATCCATCTGGACAGAGCCACAGTGGCTGCGAGGCCCGGGGCTCACGGAAGCCATGGGCTCATGACAGCCATGGGCTCAGGCAGCCATGAGCCCTGGCAGCTGTGAGGCCCGGGACTCAGGCCTCGCAGCCGGCAGTGGCAGCAGCAGCAGGGTGATGGAGGCGGCGCCTTCCCCTGATCAGCCCAGTTGCCTCCCGCAGAGGGAGGCCAGACTGTGGTTAGGCCCACTCCCTGTGCTATCAGTAGGATATCCCCTGAGGGCTCCCGAACTGTGAGAGGGGGCAGGCCAGGATGAGGGACACCCCCCCCCCCCCCCCCCGTGCACTAATTTTCGTGTACCAGTACTCTAGTGTGATAATCAGTGCAGCAATAAACATTGCAGACAGAGAAAAAAAAATTCATTGGGATAGGCCCAATAGAGGATTTTACTGTAGTAAAATCAAGTAGCCTGATGAGCTTGAATCAGAAGCACATGGAAGAAAGGTAGGCAGGAGCTGAATCATATACCAAAATCAATGAAGTTTGGACCAGATCTTTAGTTCAATCCTAGAGTATAAAAGATTTACCTGACTCTTCTTGAAGTTTACAATGTGCCATACTTTGTTTTGGCTTTTGGCACTTGGAGTGGGTGAGACCAGTCAAGGAGACTTTTAAAATAGTCTGTGTGGGAGATGAGGACCAGAACCTGGGCAATGGGAAAGTTATACTTAGCTTGTTTCACTAGATGACATTTCTTTAGTCCTCAGTAACTGGCAAGCACTGAATTGAGTTTCTTATTGCCTCTATTTATTTACTTGACAAAAAACAGGAGGTGAGTACTATTACCTCCATTTTGCACATAAATTGAGACTTGGAGAGGCTAAATAATTTGCCAAAGGATATACAGCTAGAAAATAATCTTAGGTTCACAGAGATTCACTTCATGAACTGAGAATCATCTCAGGTCTGTCTGATTCTATAGATAAGGTACTCTAAGAGGTATAACTAAAGTGTACTCTTAAACTACAGTTTTGAATGGTTGTAAGGGCTCAGGGTAGACGCTTGAAGAATAGTAGAGGTGGTAGACCACTTAGGAGGCTTTTTCAAGTGAGAGATGATACATTTTGAATTGGAGTTATGATTGTAGAGAAGTTAGATGTGGAAGGATATGAGGAAATTTTTAGCGATGTGTCAAAAATGACTCATTTCTGGTTTTGCTCATGGTGAAAGGGAGTCAGGGATGTTAAGTACTAGAGGGCAGATTAAGTGTTATCTTAGACTTAAATTAGAGGTGCCTTGTATGTTCAGGGGAACATGTTGAGATAGTTAAATACATATGGGTCTGAAGCTCTTGATATTTCTGAATTAGAAATATAAATTTGTGAGTCATAAATGTGATATTGATTGAAACCAGCTGTGGACAGGATTGCTTAATGAAAGAATATTGCGTGAAAGGGAAAGATGAGTACCTACAACCAAGGATAACAAAGACTGAAAATAATCCTACATAATAAAAGCCTAATATGCTAAGTGTCTGGTCGTCTAGTTGTCCGTTCAACCAATTAAAGCTTAATATGCTAATGGTATGCTAAGCTCACTATGACATGCACTGACCACCAGGGGGCAGACAGTCAACTGGTCGACCAGTTGCTATGAGGTGCACTGATCACCAGGGGCAAACACTCCGACCAGTAGGTTAGCTTGCTGCTGGGGTCTGGCCAATCAGAACTGAGCGAGATAGGCTGGACATGCCCTGGAGCCTTCCTGCGGTCCCTCCCTGGCTGGCCAACCTCCTGCGTCGCTCCCCAGCCCTGATCGTGCCAGTGGGATCTCTCAGCCTGGTCTGCACCCTCTCGCAATCCGGAACCCCTCAGGGGATGTGGGAGAGCTGGGTTTGGCCTGATCCCGCTCAACACAGGAGCTGCCCCCTGGTGGTCTGTGCGTTCCCACAGGGGGAGCACTTCTCAGCTATAAGCCTGGCTCATGGCTGTCTAGCCGAGCGGTGATGGTGGGAGCCTCTCCAGCCTCCGCAGCAGTCAGACATCCCCTGAGGGCTCCCGGACCGTGAGAGGGCGCAGGCCAGACTGAGGGACCTCCCCCACCGGAGTGCATGAATTTCATGCACTGGGCCTCTAGTTACTTATTAGTAGCAGCCAACTTTTATTAAATCCTTACTCTGTGTTAAGCACTGTACTATTTGTTTTACCTTTTCTATTTCATTAAGTCATACAAAGAACACTGTAGGGAGATATATTTGTCATCCATTTTTAGCACTT